CACACTGTTCAGATAGCATGTTGCTCCTTCTTTTGCCAAGCCATGGTACTTTACATCCGCTGCTGGGGAGAGATTGTTATGAAAGCATGCAAGTAGCAGAACTGCTTTCATACCATAAGCATGGATTACAAAACAGCACAGACAGCGAATAGTTGCACCCGTTCATGTTTTGCACAATTTACTGTTTTGTAGATTGAATTTTACGAGAAAAGCGTCATCTTTGTTGATCAGTCCACATTCTAGTGAATAGACTGCTTAGTATTACATTTTTAAGACCCAGTTTCCTGCAAAAGAGGTTGAGGACGCTAAACGCACTGCACCTACCTGCAGGGTTAAAGGTTCCATCGAAAAACTGTCGACCCGTAAAATTCATTTTCAGTCCCTTTAGAACCTCAGTCCCGTTTTACACCGCCAGCGGCCACAAAGACACGGCTGGTTAATAGCAAAACAGTCGCAACTGTTCTGAAAATACGTTTTCTACAAATGCACTAACGCATGTGAGCATGCATTACGATTGCAACTTCAAGACACTCCCTGAGATTCTTCACGGACAAGAGGATTAAGCTGTTTTCACGTCCAGTTAAGTCGAAACTGTGGAAACGGTTTCTGTTTGACTTGTTCGTGCTGTATTCAGGGTGCACCGGAAAAAACAATTATTTCTATTAAAATAAGCGTCACATGACCGAACACTGTTATCCTCTCCAAAAGGTAGTGGGCGCTGCACCCTTAAATGTGATAGTTAAAAATATGAACCCGTAGTTATTTAATCAGAAATAAGAAACCTGTTAATATGTTGCATGTGTCCCGATTCTCAAAGGAAGGCGGGATAACTGAACTCTGAAGCAAACAATGCATTCCTTTGGAATACGTCAGTCATCTATTTTTAATTCAGAAAGTGAAGCAATCACTGTTGACACAAAGTGTTGGGTATTAGAGATGTAGAGCAGGTAAAGCAATGACGTTATCTACTTGTTGTTCCGGTTACTACACAGTACACCAGTAAAAACAAATACTTTTATGCAATTTTCTTTTAAGTCCATTTCTGGGAAACACTGCTGCTGTATGCTGAAATGCTCATTGTAAAGTGGGTATATAGTGATATATAGTGTATAGTATATATAGTTATATATACTGGGGAACACTACTTTTTATATTTTAAGGTATCTTTTCTCTCATAGTCTGCTTCAACATTAATATTCCTACAGAATGTGTTTTATCCTCATCAGCACTCATCTGATGTGTGTTTGTCAGTGAGTGCTGTGGAAACTGAGACACTCATTCTGTGTTAAATGAAGAGACTAGAGTTGACGTTCAGCCGGCTTTGTTGACTTAGAAACCAAAAACATGGCGAAAATGATGAGCTCATGAGATTATAATTACCAGGAAATTCCACTGAACATGCAACGTTCTGTCAAAACAGCCAGACTGATTCCAGCTGTGAGGGTGTTTACTTGATAAGATTCCCGATGAGATCATTCATGATTTCTGCTTTGCAGGCAGCACATGCCTTTCCTCTGTTTAATAACAATCTTTAAGAAAGTTTCATCAGCTGCATTGTCTTTCCACCACAATATCTGTCAGAAAGCAGAAAATGTACACTTATTTAATGCATTTAATTTTAATTTGTCTTATTTCTTTCCTGAAGACCTCCATACGTACTTACAAAAGAGGATGCATTGAAGAGCGCCGTTTTATTTTATACAACAAGAAAAGCTGATTTTTTTCAAACATGAGCATATTATTGGATTATTGTCACTTTTTATAAACAGTCTATATACAAAGCAACTTGCAAACAGTGGCTGAAGTACAAGCAGCAGTGGCAGCTGAAGTCATCAGTGGAGATGATCTCAGTCAAGGCTTCAGTCCTCCAGGAACCTTCATCACCATGTGGATCACAGACATGTGCTGGATTCCATATTCAGACAACTTTGTCTCAGATCCATCCAACATCTTATCTGTGAATATCAGCCGCAGAGCTTCCTCTCCTGCACACACACACACACACACACAGTAAACACCATTTTAATACATGCATTTTAATAGGCACATCCACAGAGATATATTAGATTACTAGCCCACATTTAGAATAAAAATCAGAATCAGAAAGGGTTTTATTGCCAGATGTTGTGAAGGTTTACAACATTAGGAAATTGCTTCGGTACGCAAAACATACTATAAAATAAACACTTAAATAAACATAAAAATTAAAAGTGCTAAGCAAATAGATATATACATAAATGCAGG